ATTATTGAAATAATTTGGAATTATTAAAAAGGAAAACTCAAATTCAAGTTAAAGTACTCTTTTGCTCAAGCTGCTGAGTAAACTTGAACTCACTTAAATAATTGTGAGCATGAGCACAAATTCAATTATTTTAAACTCGATAAATATACAAGCTTGTTAACTCAGACTCAAATTTAAAAGGTAATTTCAAACACAAGTATCTAAGTATTTGACTTGACTCAACTCGCTAAGCAATAGGTCCATGCTTCTTTAAGTAACACAAAAAGAAGGGGTTTGTGTGTGTAAAGCTGCATGGTACGTAATACAGAAAGGCTATACATGTCACTTGCTACTGGCTAGGCCTTCCTGTAAGGGGTTAATCTTTAAGCATGAAAAATGCCACTGAAGCATTGTATTGGTAAGGGTAAGGTCTTTGGAGCCATTGGTGTCAGTAGTAGAGACAATGGGCCTTGGGTAAACTATTTGTTGAAAAAATAAAACAAAATGGGATGAATTTAACATTTTTTTTGTATACATTACATGTTGGTAGCATGGTCGCATTTGCCAATTTTCACTGTTTTTCTCATTTGCTGTTTCATTTGTGGGCTAAAATAGGACATTTAAAAGCTTATCTTTATGCCAATTGGTTGCAGTGGTGAGTAACTGATTTATTATAAAGGAGATCATTGATTTAAATCTTCTTGAAAACACACTTTAATATAATGATACTTTTAAAAATAGAATAAATATATTATAAGGCATAAAGTTGCAAATAAAAGGTTGTGTCTTGTGTCCAAAAATATTTATTGGATAACATAGAGAATGGATGTTTGACTCTCAAGGTTGCCATCAATAATTTGATTAAAATCTTTAGATTTTCTATGAGATAAATAAAATTTCAAACACTCAATGATACAACATTGTTCTGTTGGCAAAAAAGATTTAACCACTTAAATGGTTTTAAAGATGTACTCAAACCATTTATACTATCTGGTATCAATTCAATCGGTCTGACCAACCAATCTGATCTAATTTTCAAACTATGAGTACAATAGTGGTTGTAGCTTTATCAATGATAAAGAATTTGAACACTAAGAAGAAGATTGCACAAGTAAAAAGGAACCGAATTGCATGACGACTCGCATACTCTCTCAAATGCACAACAAGAATACCCATAAATTCTTTACGGCCAAGTCTGAGACCATAAAGACTACACGTCCTCTGTCATCACATCTTCTATAATACGGAAGCCTCCCATAACCCAGATTAGAGTAAGGAGTTCACGGCCATATTCTCCCAACCGCTTAACATGGTTTACATGCTGGTACGAATGTGCAGCATAGAGAAGCATCTCAATCCACATTGCCTTTATCAGCTCCCATTTATTTTTGCATTCTTTCAATCCTGTGGCCACGTTTCCAGCAAACTTTGGCAAGTTCTCCAACGCTGTCCTGGGTCTTACATGGAAAAAAATATATGGTATGTATAATTAAAAATTTTGGATTAATTTAACTATACTTATTTATAAATTAATAAATAAAAGAACAAATCAAACCTGAGTTCGGACAGGTGGAAGAGTGAATTGAAAGCAGCCTTCTTGTTGGAGGCTTTAGAGAAAGTGTCCCTGAGCTTATCAAGAGCATGATCCAACCAGAAACTCCTGCAGTGCTCAGGCAGTACCATAGCAGGTCGCATGACTAGCAGATACATCATATAGTCTGATAAATATTTGTTGATCTCCATGTCTTTACTGCGAGCATTATTGATGAGATCATGATTGAGATCATGATCTTGATGGTAACAAATACTTGTAACCAGGTGCCAAGTTATGATGCTGGAATCAAAGTCCATTTTGATGCTCCAATTGAGGTGATCACGTATATCAGGTTTTGCCACAAAGGAATCACCCATTCCGGTCAATTCACTAAGGGCTTTTTCCCCCCTTGTTGCTTCAAAGGAATCATCCATAAAGAAGGAACCTAACCGCCTTTGGTAAATCTCTTTCTTCCTCAAACAGCTTGGAACATCTTGAAACCTTGTATGGTTGGACCTATGCCAATTCTCAAGAATATCACAACCACAATTCTTTTCTAAAAAACCAAAAACCTTCGCCTTACTGTAATTCCAGCAATATTCCAACAAATCAAATTGTCCCATCCGACTTGTCCTCACCTTCTGTTGAGCCAAGAAGCGAGGGATATATTGCAAGACATACTGGAGAATCTTGCGTACCAGATAATTGTCATGAAATAACATCAGAAGTACTGCCCAATCAGAAGAAAGCATTGAGAACACTGTACAAAATTCCATCGTAACAGCTCCAACCAGCACTCTGATTGTTATGAGAATATCAACTCTTGAGAAACTGAACGTTGACTAATTCATGACACTGATTAGGAAGAGTAGAAGAACTGCTAAGGAGCAGGTGAAGCTGGAGAGGCGCAAGAAGCATCCTTTCTTGGTATAAATCAAAGCAGCCTTGGTGCAAACAACATCAAATATAAACCCCAGTTCTGCAGAAGCTATGTTGAAATGACAACCCCTTGGCCCTCTGCTTTCAAGCAAGTCTTGCAAAATTAACTTGACTTCTTGAATGAATTGACCATTAGTTTCCCTCAGATAGGTTTGTATCCTCACTTTGAAGGACAGGGGATACTCCTTGAGACAGACGTAATCATTGACATCTGGTCTCATTGCTGAAAACAATAAATAGCCTAGGAGTACTACCTTTGATTCTTTATTTTTTAATAATTCATTTAACTCAGGGTGAGATAGATGAGCAGGATTGTTAAAGATGGAGATGATCCACCTGGTTCTCTGAGTTAGTGAGCTTAAGACACAAAATCCTTTCTACATATTTGATGATTCCAGCTAAAATCAGAGGAAGAGTCAAAAGGGAAAACCAAACTTGGG